TCTGCACGTCTGGTGTGAAACTTTAATGTCATATCAGATAACACTATCAAAACAGAGGGAAGCCTTGGTGCTGCTTAATTTTCCCTTTTGGCAAACATGGTTATTATTCATGAGTTAAGTGCAGCAGATCTGCTCATAAAGGTTTAATTGTCTACTTTCTTTTTTTCCTCCCATATTTTGGAAAGCAAATCCAGACCATAAGTATCTGAAGGGCTGCATATCTTTGCTTCAGATTTGATTTGATCGTTAACAGAAGACTGGTGTTCAGCAGAGAACGTCAAAATCAGATTTTACCTGCCTAAACACGATGCTCTTACCTTTAGACTTGTCTTCGTTCAAGCTGAGATCAAGTGATTAAACGGGCCAGGATTTAGGATCATTGTTTGTTGTTTGTTTCCATTCTTTTTAATGAAGCGTTGTCCACTGGGTTTCAGTGCATTTTGCTTAATTAGAGCACACAGAATGCTCATATAGACCACCCTGTTACATCCAGCAATAGACCAACAATAACAATAGATGGCAGCGTGCCAGTTCCTTTGGCAAGCCATACATGCTCAAACAGAAGCACCACCGAGTCTGATGATGAATGAGTGTTTCGGCTAGTGAGTCGTTCCTTGTTCTCTTCAGTTTGCTCTATACATGATTTGTTTTTGACAGATTCATGTTTTCTTTCAGCATCCCACAGAAATTGGATTCAAAATGATGCAGGGCTTTTTTTGTAATTGTGAGTCCTCCGAGGCTTCGAGGTCTTTGCTTGATCGTTGACAAGGACTCGTGACACATTGCAGATATAAAACAGGGTTTTCTTAAACACACAAATCCACTCATCCAGATAACTTTTATTCCGCTGTATAACATTTTATTATTTTCATGTGTTCACCTGCCATTTAATAATAATAATGTGTACTTTATTGATCCCCGTGGGGAAATTCCTCTCTGCATTTAACCCATTCACTCAGTGAAGCAGTGGGCAGCCATTGGACGCCCAGTGTGTAGGGACGGTCCCTTCCTCATGGGTACCTCAGGGTGGCCGTTCAGCGGATTCAAACCCCCAACCTTCCGATCATGGGGCCACCACTCTACCTACTGAGCTATCCCTGCCCTTTGTTGTTTCTAAATTAACCCAGCTGCCTATTTTGGGGGAAATAACAACCTTTAATGTCTGGAAATACATTATTAACTTCAAATTACAAGTTGAATCCACACACAGCTAACCTAAGGTCTTATACTACCAGGTTGAACTCCCTTTTCCCTTTAGGAGTGCTTTAATTCTACAAGGTGCCGATGGATGACAGCATCACAAAGCTGCAGATTTGTCAGCTGCACATCCATTTGGTCAATTGCCTGTTACGCATCCCAAAGGTAGAGTAAATTTATTGTCATGTTCAAGAAACCAGTTTGAGATGATTTGAGTTTTGATACAAGAAGCGTTATCCTGCTGGAAGCAGCCATCAAGAGATGAGTACACTGGGGTTATGAAGGGATAGAGATGGCCGGCAGCAATATTCAGGCAGGCTACGGTGCTCAAATGATGCTCAGTTGGTACTAAAGGGCTCAAAATGAGCTACAAAATGATCCCTAGAACCATTATACCACCATACCTGCCTGAACAGCTGATACAAGGCAGGATGGATCTATGGTTTCGTGTTGTTTAACAAATTCTGACCCTGTTTTTCGCAGCAGAAATCGAGACTCAGCAGATCAGGTAACGTCTCACCAGTTTTCTGTCAACTTTTGGGGAGCCCGTGTGAGTTGTATTTTCAGTTTCCTCTTTGCTGACATGAGTGGCACCCAGCGCGTTCTTCTGCTGTTGTAGCCCATCATTTTAAAGGTTTCACATATAGTGTCTTCAGAGATGCTCTTCTGCATAACTTGGTTGTAGCTACTGTTACCCTCCTATCAGCTCAAAGCACTCTGGTCATTTCTCCGTGCCCTCTGGCAACAACAAGATATTTCCAAGCAGAGAACTGCCGCTCACTGGATACTTCCTTTTTTTGGCCTGTTCCCTGTAAACCTCAGAGACGGTTATGTGGGAAAACCCCAGCAGACCAGCCTGTCTAGCACCGAGCACCACGCTATATTCAAAGTCACTTAAATCACCTTTCTTCCCCATTCTGATGCTCAGTTTGAACTTCACCAGGTTGCCATGACCACATCTAAATGCACTGAGTTGCTGCCATGTGATTGGCTGGTTTGCGCTAACGAGCAGTTGTACCCAATGAAGAGGCCAGTGAGCGTAGGCATGAATGAAAACACTATCCTAACAAACTGATGTGAACTTAAAGATGAAACTTGGCCCTTTAGTGTATTTTTTATTTGATCTGAAAGTGAATGTTGCAGAGAGACGCCGAGTTTGAAGAATGAAACATGCAACTGTTCCAATGCTCCCAATCTGGACTGCATGTTGAGGCTAAAACACAATCAGCAGAGATTCGGGTCTGGCAGCCTGTCTGACCTGCACCCTGTCCAAAAAGACGGAGCGCTTTAATAAAAAGCCTCTCCACTGACCAAATTCTCTCTACGTGGCATAACCTCCCTCAGAGCTGCTTTCTGTGACTGCACCTCATCTGGGAGATTCATTGTGCTACTCAAAGACGAAGCGAGAGACAGGGAGAGAGAGAGAGAGAGAAGTCAACACGGAACAAAATGTTTCAGGGAAGCTGATTTATCCTCGTTTATTGGTCCAAGCGTCTAGAAAAAAAGAAATTTGCCACAGAAAGCAAGTGAGAAGAGTCAAGTATGACGAGAGAAAACTTGGATCTATGCTCTCAATAAGCAACTAAAACGCTCTCATGGCTGCATTATCTGTTACTCTTTGATGGAGCTGTAATTTCTCACAAACACATACAGTCCCCTGTGTACGAGCTATTCAGAAAGCCTAAGTCTCAAATCTAAATGGAAATCTTGCCTGCTTATTCCCTGTAGGTCTACTGTAATTGTCTCTGTCAGGGTCATTAGGAAGAGGGAATGTGTGTAGTTTAGAAGAAGAGAAGCAGCAGACTTCCTCAACTGCAGCTTAAAGAGTAATGCTTGTTTTAAGTAGCTACTGTTGGTCTGCATGCAAATCTGCTCCTAGAGAAGTCAATTTGAAGACTTCTTGATGGTAGCTGAGTACAGAGAGCAGGGATTCCTGTCCAGTGTGTACTAAAACTATTCAGTTTAAGTATCGTCAGACCGCTAGCAGGACAAGATCAAAAGAAAAATGTTGCTTGGCTATAAAGGTCACCCCATTACTGTGCTGTGTAATTTTTAATGGACAGCCTCTCTGTGAAGTTTCTAAAAAAACAAAACAAAACAAAAAAACATCAAGTCAAAGGCAACATGAGCTATAGAGTCAAAAACTATTATCTCACATGAAGGCCAGACAGTGTCGGAACAATCACATCCCTGAATCGCCCACCTGGAAACACTCATCCGGTTTCGGGAAGGAGTGACGCCCGGCGACAGCGCCCATGACACATGACAATAACTTTGTGAATTCCCTGAAATGATCCCTTTCTCACAGACTTTGTCACTATAGAGCTGGAATGTTTCTAGAGAACCTATTATGCTCATTTCCTGTTGCACATTTTTATGCATAGACACCACCAGATTTTCTTTGCATTGAAGTTTAAAAACATTCATTATTTACACCATACTTGGTGCAAACTCTCAGTTCATTCGCTGCCTGAAATGAGCCTTTTCCTCTCTCCTCCTTGCTTCGTTTAAGGCTTTTGATTTGATGTCTTTCAGGTAGTTTGAACAGTAGGTGGGTGGAGATTCTGCACTCAGCTACAGCTGTGGTCTCCGACAGGGTCATATTAAAGACATCCCCTCTCACAGAAATCATCAAAAAACAAAACAAAAAAACCCAAACAACAACAACAACAACCCTGTCCACAGAGCAGGGGCAGAGGGAATCTCCCCTTTTTGTCAGTGTAAAGAAGTTGGACTACACATTTAATCCCTCAGATATCTTAATAGAAGAAAAGGGAAGTACAATTTCAAATGAAAGATCTGTCATCAAGGTCCTGAGTTTAATTCCACCATCAGGCCGGGGTCTTTCTGTGTGGAGTTTACATGTTCTCCCCGTGCTTGCGTGGGTTCCCTCCAGGTATTCCGGCTTCCTCCCACCGTTCAAAGACATGCAACTTGTGGGGATAGGTTAATTGGATAATCCAAATTGCCACTAGATGTGAATGTGAGTGTCTGTCCCTGTGTGTTGGCCCTGCGACAGACTGGCGACCTGTCCAGGGTGTACCCCGCCTCTCGCCCTATGACAGCTGGGATAGGCTCCAGCGCCCCCCGCGACCCTGAAAAGGATAAGCGAAGGGCTGGATGGAGATCTGTCATCACGATTCTTTGGACTCGGAATTGTAAAAAATAAATGTCTAAGACTAGAGAAAAAGTTCTGATACTTCATTGTTTCATAATCAGTTTTTAATTCACAGAAAGTTTTCTGTTATGGTTTTATTCATCTTACTGTGGACTCATTGTAATATATAAATTTAAAAAAAAAAAGAAAAAAAAGGGAATTTCTATTGGAATTGGTGAAAAAATGGGAACTTTTCTGTCATTTAGTTGTTTATTTTTGACATAATTACTTTGGTGTTGTATGAATGCTCATGAGGAAGGATTTTAGCAGTAGGAAATGCAGTAAAATGTATTAAAATACAGTGAAATTTAAGCCCTCCTTTACATTTTCCAAAGCCATCCAGTGGGCCGGATGGGAGTTCTTGCCAGGCCGATTCTGGCCCATGGGCCTCACATTTGAAACCCGATCTAGAGCATTGCAAAGCCTGATGGTTATACTTAAAGATGCCTTGAAAACTTTAGTACTGCAGTGCATGTCTCTGTATACGGCTATACAGAGATCTCAAAAGATTCTTTCCACATTTCTGTGGCTTCCTCAGAGCACATAAGCATATTCCAACCTCAAATCTTTCCAAATGTTTATGTACAGTCACAAGCATTCAAACATTTTGGCTCGTGTGGAAAAACATTCTAACAGCACCCCAACGTTTACATTTTTTCCACCCATTTTCATTTAATGCACTCTACAATCAAAGTTTTTAATAAGAATGCAATGCCAGAGAAAAATACAATCTCTGAATATGACCTTACCAGAATCGATGTAAGAACATTCTCTTAAACCAGAAGGCTCATTCCATACTCGCTGAAGAGTCACTGCCCATGCAGCAAATCCTTTTTGACAAACATATGTACCAAGGCACACATTCATACTTAAGCTGCTGTTCCATCGGACTCTGTGCTGTGTGAGCCGACAGAGAGGACGTAAAGGCGAGTTGTCGCCCTGGGGGGGAAAGAAATGTGAGGGAGAAGTCATCATGCTTGGTCCATAAACAGCTTTTAACCTGAGGGGGAAAAGCTTATGGGGGCGTCTTCAGGGTGCAGGTCTCGCTGTGCTGCATTTCAGTCTCTTTCCTTTTTTATGTGCAAAACACGTAATACTCAAGTTCGCGTATCAGCATGCCCTCAGTCTGAATCGGAGGAGTCATTAGTTTTGGACTTGTGCTTTCGCTTCCTCTTGCTCTTCTTTTTGTCTTTCTTCTTTTTGTCCTTCTTCTTTTTCCTCTTCTTTCTGGGATGGTGATCAGAGGAGGAGGATGAAGAAGAGGAGGAGCTGTCTGAGTCGGAGGCGGAAGAGGAAGTGGTGTCCTGGAGCAGTTGCTGCAGCTGCTGGATCCTACAGACAAGGAGGGAAGGCAGGAGAGAAGAGGATGTGGTATTTAAGTCAAGTGCAGGGAGGAAAGTACAGCCGAGGCATACTGATGCCCAGGTTGGCAAGCATCTCAAATGTCACTGAGCAGCACACTGTCTTTGTCCCAGTACCAGCATTTCCAGAAGGCAGAGTGAGCCACGTGCCCGCTTGTGGTTGCGTATTTCTAGTAATGTTAGCAACCCTGTCCAAGTAACAATTAAAACTGCAGGTCTTGGGCACATATTTAGTTTTCAATTAATCTTTTTTAAAAGGTGTCCATTATTGCTTAAATCCAAAATGGAGGAGACAATGACTTCATCGTCAATTTTGTTTCAGGCATTTTTAAATGGTTTCTTCTAAGTTTTTTGGGAAGTCTCACAGATATCTTTATCTTTACCAAACAAGTAAAACTCATTTTAATTTAAATGTTCACTTTTGTTGGAGTGCTCAGTTTTGCAAGAAAATATTCTGCACACACGTATGATTTGGGGTTTAGTTTAATAAGAACACAACAAATCTTAAGACTACTATGGAAACATTCAAAAAGACTTACATATTATTATATCTTTAGCACCTGCATGCTTCGATGTATTCTCTTTTACATGAAACACACTGAGAAGACAAGTGCATCACAAATGAAGGCTCAGACTCACAGAACTGAGACTACTGGTGTCTCTAGCTGCTTTCTTAAACTGGGCTAGGCAGCCAATCAGACAACACAGACTGAAGGGCAGGACTCAAAGAAAAAAAAGTGTATTGGAGGGCCCTTCAGTGATGCAGGACACCCTTAGAAAAAATACACAAGCTCTAAAGGACTCTAAAGCAGAGTGGATGAGAAGAATTAGAATAATCTTCAGAAAAATCACAATGTCTTTGTCTAAACAGTCTAAAATGTTCAAAAAATAATCATCAGAAAGAAGCCAAAACAGCCATGTTTTAGTCTACATGTCTACATGACCTTTAAACTGAGGTGCTAAAACAGCTTTTTAGTTATAATTCCTTTACTTGATTGTGCTCACACTAAAACCTGCAGTACACAGAAAGCTAGGAAAAAACAAAAACAAAAAAAACAAAAACAAACAGGATTTAAACGAGACCAAGGCCAAAGACTCCTGTCACAGAGTCGGTCTTCTAAAGCCTGAACCATCCAGGTGGTGATGGTGGTGCTGGTGCAGGAGGTAAGGTCCTTCTAAAACAAGCTCCACTGCAAGATTTTAAAAGGTGATTTTGGGCTACTTGTCCAGTAACACCAAAGACTTCCTGCACATCCTGGCTATAATTTGGAACAGAATTTGTACTTTACAGATTTAACAGTGTATCTTTAATATTTTGTGACTTTGGGTTACAAAACATTAGATGATGGGTACACTGTGGTCATAAAGAGATGGAAATGCCAACAATACTCAGGCAAACTGGATTTCAATGACGCTCATCTGGTACTCAGGGACCCAAAGAAAATATTCCCCCACACCATTACATCTCCACCAGCAGCCTGATACACAGCAGGATGGACAGGTGTACCTAATAAAGTGCAGCGGTTTGTCTTGTCCTCAAACAGACTCAATTTCTTGCTGCCTTGTACCAGATTCAGAGTAGAGTTTGTGTGTACTGACGATGTTATTGGAGGAAGAAAGAGCTAGCAAACGTTGTCCACAGATTTCCACTGAGAAATTGCTTCAACTGGGCATCAACACTATGTCTGCAAAAGCCCATTTCTTAGAAAACAATTGCATCAGCTTGAGACACACTGCGAGGATAAGGCTGAAGGACACTGCTGTGCTACGATCAGTTGTGCGTACAGCAGCTGACAATTCAAGTGCAAAAAAAGACAAATGGCATGTGTGAATTATCACCAGAGTAAATTTAATAAATAACATGAAGCTAAGCAGGATATTTGTGCTAAAGAAGCTGCAGCACGATTTGATTTTGTTATCGAAGCACGTGTCAGAGTACGCTATTCAATGTCTGGCATAAATATTAGTGTTCATACTGCATTTCTGAGTCACGCTGTAACACGTGAGCAGCAAGGTGACAACAAAACTTACACGGCTCCAGTAGAATCCTTCTGCTGCAGCGTGGTACGGCACTTCTTTCCAGGGAAATTTGTCCTAAATGGACTGTAACTCTGAAAATACCACCCCTCTTTAGCTTAGTAAGACTGTTACTGCTTCACGTCAGGCTCAGCCAAACTCTGGAGTGAATTTCTGAACAGGATGGCGGCTTCAGATTTTGTCCCCTATTTCTTGAACTGAAGCGGTGCTCTGAGAGAAAAACGTCATCATATTCAACGCAAAAATGTGGCCCCCCCAAAAAACTATTTGGGCGACATATATGATAAAATTAAAAGTCATACACTCAAATAATAAGCCAAAAAGTAATTCTAACAAAAAAACAAAACTCTCATTTCCTAACTTCTTCATCGTTACCCAATTGTGACACAAGGCTACCGCATCAAGCACAATTTAATAGACAGCACCTTACATGCAATTAGAAAGCAGGCTGGCAGAGGTTGGACTGTTTCACTCCCCTTTCAAAGAAGATGCCAAAATGAATGTGGCACAGACACGCAAGTAAGACTTCAAAGCGCCACTGGCCTTTAAATAACCTTTTTGATATGCATGCAAAAATACACAAGCATGTGTGCGCGCACAATCGCGCACGCTCTTCTTCCTGAACTAGCCTCAAATTCAAACATCCCGGTGTCAAACAGTATTTGCTAGAAACTGGAACAAGCAGCCAGCAACCATGAGACTTTCCAGGTCATCTGAGATTGTCCCACTCCAGCGAGAGGACACAGTGGAAAACTGAGTTTTCAAGTATATGATCTGAGTATCACGAGTGGGTCCTTTAATAGCGGTGGAAAATTATGAGTCTTTCTCTGGGAAATTAACATGCACACAGCAGGAAAATGACTGTACATACCTGGTTTCCTTCTCATTCCTTTTGTTTTCCCGAATCAGGTCGTACATTGGGTCTTCGTGTGCCTAATAAAGTACACAATGTCACACAAAAAGAAGGTAAGGTGCTACAATTCACACTATATCCAGGAACTATACATTCCAAACTGTGTTGTGTCAGCACTTTTAGGAATATCGAGACAATAGAAGGAAGGAAAATATGACACAGTTGCATTTATGGTAATCATTGCAGGGGCTGAGCGTTCCTGCAGCGAGCACTGTTTCATTAAAAGTACACTGGAACGAGCTGTGTGCAGAGATCTGCTGCCCACATGTGTAAACTAAATCTGACCTTACTTAACTTTAGTCTCAGACACAAACTGTCTCTGTCATAGCTCCACGACATAAACGCGACTACTAACTTTTTTCTACTGCATTCACGCATTTTTCTACTGCAAGGAACCGTGGGTGGGCCAACCATTCTACAGCAGTAAACAAACTCACCACTCTGAAGTGCTCCAGTTTCTGGTTGCCTGTGATGAAGAAAGGACACTCCCGATCACCTGTCCTGTGGCCGTAGCGCTTGCACCTCCAGCCTTTACAAAAGGAAACAAAAATCATTGTTTGTCTAACGAATCAGACATTTCACGTACATGGCAGCAGAGTTGCTATTAAACAGACGTCCCACGTAAAACTGATTTTCCTCATCTCAAGAACTTTAGTTTGCCAAAATAACCCGAACTCATGGTGCTTTCAACAGTAGTTCGATAGAATATGCTCAGTGTCATGGTTATCGCGAGTTGCCATAAATGACTACGCAGATGCACCAACTGGTCACCAATCATGTGGCAGCCATCATGTGCATTCAGACATGCAGAAATGATCAAGACAAGCAGCTGAAGTTCTTAATGTGTTTGAACGTGGCATGATTGTTGGTGCCAGATGGGCTCGTCTGAGTATTTCAGAAATTGTTGATCTACTGGGTTTTTCCCCAGACAACCAGTGTTGGGTCTGAAAAAAAGGGAAATATCAAGGGATTAGCAGTTGTCCTTGGTAAAGTGCTTTGTTAATGTCAGAGGAGAATGGACAGACTGCTTGAAGCTGATAAGAAGCCAACACTAACTCAATAACCACTTGTTACAACCAAGGTAAAGTTTACAAACGCTGGTGAAAAATGAACAGAAGAAGATTGGAAAAATGTTTCCTGGTCTGAGGAGTCCTTCTGCTGCAACACTTGGTCGGGTTCAGAATTTAGTGCAAACAACACAAAAGCAGGAATCCACCCTGCACTGTTTCAACAGTTTAGGTTGTTGTTGGTGTAATGATGTGTTTTATGTCTTCTTATGCACACTCTGTGCCTCTTAGTACCAACTGAGCATCATTTAAACGCCACAGCCAAGCCGATTATTGTTGCTGACCATGTCCATCCCTTCATAATTACAGTGCCCATGACAATAATCTCAAACATGCCAATCAAGTCATTTACTCCAAATTTCACGACATCCCAAAGTCTACCTTTGGGATGTTGTGAAATTTACATGGAGGATGATCAGCCGCAACTGTGACATTACCACGTCAACATGGTTCTCTGAGGAATGTTTCCAGCGCCTTGTTGAATCTATGGCTACGTTCATGTATACTAACAAGGATTTTTCCGCATTCATTCTGAAAAAAACATTTCGGTCCACATGAAAACACCAAAAACAACTTCAAGTGGTGTCAAGTGCTTTCCAAGCGAACATGTGGTGTTATAACCCCAACTGTACAGAAATACTGGCCAATCAAAAACCTTACAAACAATAACATGGTCACAGTCTGACGTCAAAAAGTCGCACACCTTTGATGTTGCAAGACAAAAATCCCCATTTTTGTTGTCCATATGTAACCGCAGAGTTACTGGAAAGCCTCACCCTGAAAGGAGCTTTTCAAAAGCTCAGTTTAGGCATCTAAAACTGACCGAACATCTAAAACTGACCAAAACTTACTGAAAAACCTACGTATGCAAAAATCCCTGTGTACATGTAGACAGGCCTACAGCATGATGAATCAAAACAGTTCTGAAGTCAAAAGGGGTTCCAAGCTGGTATTAGCAAAGCGTACCTAATAAATTGACTGGTGGATATGTATGTAAGCCCAGTCTAGACCACTCATCATCTAGCTAATAAAGCAAATCAAGGACAAGTCAAACTGCATTAAAAGACACAAACTGTAAAAAAAAAATCCTGAAAGAAATATTATTTTATTAAATTGGATTTTGTTGAACAGCAGTCGGCGAGGGACGCAACAACCCCACGCAACAGCAACTCAAGAGTCGCACACGAAAAAACACGCTGCTCATGATGAGGCGCCTGATTATCAGTGACAGATCATCTCAAATTCATTATCACTTTTTCTGCCCTGAAAACAAATCAGCAATTTCTATCCAAGTTTCACACCGATTAACTGCTCAAGTGGCAGCGTAGCATCTGTGAACGACTTGAGTGTTTTTAATGCGAGTCTGCAGGAATTCTGTTCACCACGTAAAAGAAGTAATTTCTCGCCGTTCCTTTAAGCAGGACGACAAATGTACAAGTTTTTCACAAAGGATTGAGGGAAAAAGAAAAATAAAAAAGACACAAACACCACTTTTTTGTTTGCGTGTGCATGTTTGTGTCTGAGCTCTTGCTGTTCGCAGCATGAAAATGTGTGGGACGAAAGAATGAATGGACACTGAACATAATGACATTCATTGTTTTGGGAAAAACAGACAGAAGATAATCTCTGCAACACCAATTATTAGTCTTCGGTCCATCACTCTTGTCATAAAAACAATAGACACAGTGATAAATGTCAAGATCTCGCAGTTAACATTTATCACCTATCATAACTGCTGCCTACTCACAGTGGAGATTTACTCCCACCTACAGTTCCAGACCTATAAGTGCTGCTGGTACCTCACTAATAAACCGTACTCAAAACATTTCCCAGCATCCATGTGAGCTTGTTTAACAGATTTTTAATTTTTCAAATAATTCATTTTAAGTAAAGAAGCATGAGAAATAAATACTATCAATAAGATTACAATTTCTGTTACAGATAAAAATATTAATAAGGAGTGGAATGGCTGTACTTGAAATCATTTAGGTTCTCAGCAAACCACATTTCAAACATTTATAGGACTTGCAGACACCCTGTAGTGTATGCACTGTAAATTAAAAACATAAACTAAAGGACTGAAACTTGCCAGGCCAAAAACACTGCACAGCTCTAGGAGATTAATAATGAAAATATGTTAGAGTCAGCACTGAAGACAAGCATAAAATTTTAAAATAAACACGCTGAAGTGAGCAGCTGAGTAATCACTACTGTCATGTGTCTTATGCCCCCTGTTCTAAAGGCAAGAGGCTGCCTCCTGGGATAGATTTCCTTCTGTTTGCCTAATTAGCAATGAGTGTCACCTCTGATATCAACACCTAACTCCTGTAGCTGTGAAAAGATTCCCGAGGGATGTGAAAAACTCAGTTAAAGACTGCATTTGCATGAGCAGAACTGTAAACAGCATGTTTATTCCCGTCAGTGCAAACTCGGGCACACTATACTCACACTGCATCACCTTCACCTCCCTCCCTAGAGGCATCCACAGCCCTTTCGTGGGAGCGTGGGCCAGGAAGCTTCTGGCTTCTTCATTTCCTGGTTCTGCAGGGATACAGTCCTCTGGTTTTTCTTCATGCTCCTGCAACACAAACCGATCACTGTCACCAATTCTCACGATTTGTCTTTACCTGAAAAAAGCCACATGTAATTTACTTCTTACTCTTAGCTGTCTATTACTGCGAACACGTTACCTTAATAAATCCCGGTGGAGGTTTCTCATAGCTGCATGAGAGAGAGATTAAAAATGGTTAGTATGCTGCCAAAAACATTAAAACAAAAAATAACAACATGAAGTTGCTGCCCCTCGCTTATTGCGGATAAGCTTGATCAACTTGAAAATGGGTGTCAATTAAGACGCATTTATAATTCATGCACAAGTTTGCGGGATTAAAGAGGAAAAGCCAGAGTGAAACTGGAGTTACTCACAATGTCTCGATGTGTTTCAGTTTCTGGACTTCTTGGCTGACTTTTTTCGTGTGCTTCTTCAGTTTCTCCAAATCATCTTTTGGTATCTTGTCCCTCTTGTGGTGTCGTCTGTCCTCCTTCTCTCTTGCTCGCTTTCTGTCCGACATCTTGCTTTGAACAAAATGATCACCCGACAAAAAATACCGTTGTTATTAAAAGTGCATGCGGAGCTTTTACGTTATTAATTCCATGAAGATGAATCGTGCTAACATGCAGCTAACTAGCAAACGCCGCTCCAGCGCTTCTGCACTTCCTGTGCAGTCAGATTCGATTGTTAAAGTCCGGCGCCACCTGCAGGACACCGGCGGTAACACAGGAAGTGCGCCTGGATTCTCTTTCTCTCTTTTTATTTTTAAACACAAACGACAGTTTCTCTCAGCCGTAAACACTGATAAAAATGTTTATTCTTCCCTTATTGAATCCGTTTCCCAACCCATTTTCTATGATTTTCTAGTTTGGCAGTTTTAATCTTAATAACAGGATACTGGAAACAAAATGTCACTGTATGTTTTAGATCATCTGTGCCTCGTTTAAGTGACCTTTAACATCAACGGAACAAACCATCAGCGTGCGCCTTTAGCATCTTTTCATGCATGTTGCGTTTCAAATGCTTCCATTTGAAGGTAAAGGTTTGGCTTTCCTAAAAATTAGTAATAGATTCAGATGGCTCCAATCTGCTTATTGCGTTATTAAATAAATTTTGAATAATTTGAGTCATGGTAACATCGGAGTTCATTTGGATCTAAGTTTTAAATATATATATTACGTCGGACTAGTGTCTGCAAAGCCTTTTCCCCCATGAGGGCATTAAAGATCTCTATAAATACATTCTTTTAAAACTGCATTTAGGCATATAGACATGTTCAAGAGGACATGATGGCATATGTCAGAAGCTTCCGATCCACTCGTATTTTCCCACAGAAGAGTTTACTGACAATAACCTGAAAAGGAGAAAATATCCAAAGAGTATCCAACCTGGCACTAGCAAGGTGTACCTAATAAAGTGGCTGATGAGTGTATTTATTTCGTTTTTTTAAGCTAATTTTTCTAAAGTTATTGATCACACTTTTCTTGCAGCCACATCTTAGTGTCTTAAACATTGCTCAGTTTCTAGATTGTAGGCAAGAACTGATATTGCATACTGAATACCAAATATATAGTCATATAATATGTGCATTTATCAGCAGACAGCACATAAAAGCAGCAGTAAACAGAGCAACAAAGTAAAGAGCCTACTTTCACAGACTGAAAGTCACAGTTTTATTTCAGGTATTTCACAGTGAAATATAAATGTGAGGTATTTCAGGATTTAAACAAATGTGTGTTCACTGAACAGCTAATCTACAACCGTAAGTAATCAGACATTACAAAAAACACACAAGTCATATTTAATAGAGCAATGGTGCAAAAGCATGTAGCCAAAGAAAGTATCAAAAGAAAATGTAAAGTTTAGATGACACTAATTGTAAGTCTACAGATGTTTGGCAGATGTGCCTTTTCATTGTAAACAGTGACTGGTGAGTCCCATTCTGAATGATAATCAAATATTTTCATTGGTGATTGATTTGTATGCATTTACAAATATGTAACAATGAGATATTTACATTTATCACTTCTATATTTCAACTTTGTAATAAAAAAAAAACAAAAACAGAAAAATGTTCCCACTGGAGAGAACTGAAAGCTGAAATAAGTAAATAAATCAAATACAAAAGTTTGAACATCAAATAGCATGAATTGTAGTTAAAGGTATATATTTTCTATATAAATCTATTTTTGTAACATTAGAAAATGGAGAAAATATATATGTAAACCAGCTCGTCATGCCACAAATGCCACCACAGAGAAAAGCCGGATTTCCTGTGATGCTTCGGCAATTTGATAAATAAATACTTTATAATCCTTCAACATCCACAGTTCGGGAGTTTACAAACGGGGGATGTGTTAAATTAGATGAAAAGAAGTCCGCCCGTCTTTCTGACTGTGCAGAAGATGCAGAAACTGACTGACAGCTGAAATAGCGACCTCGGTGCCCCCGGTTACAATTCAGGATTCTAGGAGCGCCGCTCCAATCCGCCCAGCAACTGTCGCGCTGTTGGACAAACTGTGTGCCTTTTCACTGGCTTGGAAACTCAACTAGTTTCTCAAGTTCTGATGCTCTGGATTACACAGATTACGACACGGGCCTCCTCCCATTTCTTTGTTTTTTAAGAGTATTCACAAAGATAAAGCGCATATAATCTTAAGATGCTCAAAGTGAGGAGAGAAAATCTTTCAAGCCCCCCTTCTTGGTGCCCTGGTTGTCCTCTTGCTGGAGAATCTTGCTTAGATGTCGGACAAACCAGTTTCTAATTTTAGGAGGCTTGGAGGAAGCTGAGCCTGAGCCTGATCCTGAAGTGGTAGTAGTGGAGGTGGAGGTGGAGGAGGAGGAGGAGAATCTAGAGAGAAGGAAGAGTTCAGTTAAGAGTTACAGTAACTTAAGATTTTGTTGGTTAGCAGGAAATGTTAAAAGCAAGCTATCACCAGCGACACGATCCGAAAAACGTGGAACCAACACGTGCCGCCCGCACATCTTGTTCCCTTAATGCTGACTTAATAGAAACTCAATCACTCAAATCCCAACATGCCTGACACATCACTGTCTCATATGTCTGCAGAACCAACTAAGTTTAATCAAGCAAGGCTGTAACTAAACTTTTGGCTCTGCGCATATTAGTAACAGCAAACCAAAATAAACTTACCTCGGTGTATGAGCAGGCGCCCTGTCCTTGCCAGGAGTCTTGTGGGCATTCATGCTGGATCTGCTGGTTGACTGTGGGGTTTTGTGCTTGCCAGCACTCCCTGGTGTGTTGTGGGTCTTAGCGAAGGTAGCTATAAAATCCCTGTTCACCCCCTTGTACCTGGATGTCTTATTGCAGGCATGGCAGGTGGCCATCTGGGATAAGGAGAAGGAAAGGAACATATCCATTAATAATGCATGCTCTGCGTCTACACTGCGCTCATACACAATGAGGTTTTGAGGTGAAGGCATACATGGCATCCCCAGAGGAGTACTTGGAAGGAAATCCGTTGAAACTTCTTGTGTATAATTTCAACAAATTATGTAAATCCTAGAGAGGAAGGTGAAGCTTTTTGTCATTCTAGCTATTATTTTTCATCAAAACTCACCATTTCCACGGTTTAATGGCTTTCTCTGGGACGCACAACAGTTTGGTGTGGACTTGGGCCTGACTAGCTGTAATAAAAATGGTGCACATGCCACAGGTGACGCAGGCCAACCCGCAAGCCTCACAGATGTCAGGGACACGTACTGACATCTCAAAGCTGAGGAAAAGTTTACAATGAGGTAGAGGAAGCTTACTAATGACAGGAGATTCACTTAACAGCTGATGCTCTTCCCACTGGCTGTGCCAAAGATAATTTTACCAATGAACATTGCAGATATGAAAATAGTTGGACTGCTTGAAGCAGGATGGGAAAACAATGTGTTTAGCCTATGAGACGGCAAGGTGGGGCTGTTGCCATGCAATTTCGCCTATTCAGGGTACACTGCAATGTGGAAAGGTTACAACGGGTAACAGATCAAAGACTCGCAGAACTTTGTGCTCAAGAAAAACAAAACTGTACTAATCAATAAATTAGATGTACCATGCTCACATTCAGCTTCATATTCTTATTCTGTGATTTAAAGGTGTAGCTGTGCATGATTCGCAGATGCTATCAGAGCTGTTGGCTAGTTCTTTCTAGTTTAACTCTATAACATTTTTTCCCCTACAACTTCTCTGATGCTTGAGCTGAGCCTACTGTTTTATGTAATTCAAAATAAGACACACTGCATTCAAATAAAATATAAACTCCATGTAAGGCAAAACAAGTAGCAGGAAAGTTGCAAGGTAGAACTACAGGTCAGGAGATCCTTGCAATTTAAGACAACATGCATAATAACTCTTGGCCTATGACTGTGTGTCCAAGTGAAATGGTGCATGAAACAGCAGTACATGTCATGGTGTGCACACAGGCTGTTAATAAACCATCAATGATTAATCAAATAAGTTATGGAATCATAATGTGACTCGGACAAACAGATAAAAAACAAAACAACTGACTGCTATTGTAAGCCACAATTACTTTATATATACTCTTCAGTATTAGGCAGGACTTCTTATCAATTGCAGCCCATTATAAGACACCACAGAATGAACTGAGTGATGGTAACAATATAGAAAATCATCCCAGCATCATGACCCTGCTATAATTATAAGATATGCCATTTTTTTCTGCTGTTTTAACAAATGTCAAATAACTTCAGCTAACTCCAGCACAGGAAAAATAAAAATCTTGAACAGAAGAGCCATTTACACTTTTTTTCCTCTTAAGTAAAACTTTATTTAAAGTAGCAAATGCAGTGCACAGTGTTCAATAAAACCTCAATATCCCTCCAAAATCTAAGCATAAAAAAATCCCAGTAGTGACAGAAGCTATCCAGAGTTGCCACAACATTAGAACTGGTTTGAACAGACCACCGCTGCAGAGGTCAGCAAATCTGAGCCAAACTGTTGACAGTCCTGAATGCTGAGGAGATGGAAAACTCACCGACACAAATGTAGCCATTTCAGATTCTGACAGGTGGCTACTGCCGAGTGTTGGAGAGTTGGGTTTCAGTGAACCAGCACTTAGTTCTGGGTTCCTCTTCGTTTTTACCGCACCGTTAGAGAAGTGTTTACTAAAGGAGCCTGCCAGTCCCGCTTTATAGTGACAAAGCCAAGCAACTGACCCACCCATCTGTGCATAGGGGTGTGGCTCAATGAGGACTGACCAATGCTCTGTGAAGCAGATGGACTAAATAACCCCAGACTTTCTCTAGAGGATGGATCGCAGTGTTACTAGTGCATGCAAGATCTTTTGATTAAGTCTATTTGTTAACAAAAGATCCAAACTCAGAACACTTGCATTTAGTAAATACTGCTGAATAACTGATCATTTAAATGCTGTTTATTATTTACTTGTACTCTAGATGTAACGTGAAACAGATTCAAACCACAAAGAATTTTGTGTTCAAGCAAAAATAAAAAATAATATAAATAAAAAACCTGTACTGAACAGGAGTAGCTTTGCATAAACACACCTAACATGCAGCAATTAATAAAGCACAATAATAGTGCACTATAATCATTATTTCTGTTTAAATAAATGTGCTTGGTGTGGCCCATCACGTCATCTGATTGACATGACGGGCTGGATCTGATTGAAATAAGACATTTTAGGTAGTTTCCTCTGGCCTTTAAGCCACCTTTCTTCTG